CTAATAAATTTCTAATACACAACGAGTATATTCCGTAAGGTTTGTTTAGTTTTCACATTTACTTGTACTGTATCAGGATTTATAAAGTATTACTTTGCTTTATTATGACCATGCAATTTTTTTTTAAAAATTGTCCTAATATTTGACGCTGTATCATTTTAATTTTTTTAATAATACGATATAACCGGATCGAATTATAATCGTCACGAATTTCAGAAGGCCAAGCAATTTTTTTATGTCTGATTCACGATTGAATCAATTTGCTTAATTGTGCTATATTAAAAAATACTTTTGTTTCAATATATTATTTTTATATAATAAGACAATTGTTAACGCAGTGAGTATATGAGACCTTTGCAATAGAAAGGGAGAAAAATTCAATTTTACTTTTATATGCAAAATATGATTTCTAGGTCTAAACATGTTCAGATTTAGCATTAACTCATTTTTATTTTTTTTTCCAACCGTATCTCCTTTTCTATTGCGAAGGTCCTATATTAGAAAATACACATACTCTGAATTTACATATTTTTTTTATTTTTTTTAAAAAAAAAACGAACAGGTCATGTCAATTTAAATAAAAATAAACATCTTTATTTTAATATAATGTTGGATTTCAAGCATTATTATCAGTCATTATTTTTTTTCAGGAGGCGAATAGTGAAAAATTTGATAATTAAAGAAGCGAAGAATAATATGAGAATCTGCTTACATGATGCATGATTTGCAAATCTAGCTTGACAAGTGTTATGAAACAAACAGTTAACGTAATCATGACAATAATATGAACGATCTTCCGTTTCATATGCGGTAAGACCAATATACACAACTGTTAAAAAGAAAGTTTGATGTTAATAATCCCTTTTTTTTGGAGTTAAATATGACTTTCGTTGGAGCAAACTTACAACTGGCGTCGTAATTGCAGATGCACTTTTGATTAATCAAAAGTTTTGACAAATTAGTTCAATTTTAAAAGATGGTTGCAAGATTATTTGTATATAGGTCTTTATATTGTTGTAAATAAAAAAGTAAAAAAAAATTTGAAACACTTTATATAAAAAATGAAAAGATAAATCCATTAAATAACTAATGATTTATTACATTTTAAATTACTTTCTTTGCTTTCACGAAAGTTATAAAATATCATATGTTCTAGATCATGTGATCATATTTATTATTTAACCTTTTTGTCGATCGTACTTATTATAGATATGCTGTTCCTAACTACCATATAATAAACCTTACCATAAAAGCAATTAGGCACAATTTGTGAAACACGGGCGTAAAATAAAACGAACATTAATTTGTTAAATCATGGGAAAATCAAATTGTCAGATGATATGCGGTGGCGTTACATAAAATCCCCGAAAAAGTAAACCTCCCATTAAAATTCTTAAAATGCCACTTCCCACAATATATTCACCGATTACAAAACTCCCACCCGAAATTTTTGCCAAGATTTGCGACAATTTATCACCAGAGAATTTATTGAATCTTTCTAAAGTATGTCGTAAATTTGATGGATATTTATGTGCACCAAATTCCTATTCTACCCAGCAAATATGGAAGAAATCTCGTTTAAAATTCTTGCCAAAGAAAAAGATGCCACCACCAAAAGGAATGGATGAAAAACGTTATGTTGAATTACTAGTGGGACGAGATTGTCAAATTTGTAAAATTAAGAAGCAATGTAATATTTATTGGGAATTTGGAGTTAGGTGTTGTTTAAAATGTTTCAATGAGAAGACCTTGAAGTAAGTTTTTATGATTTTAAATAAAAAGTACGATATTACATTTGTATTTGCATCTCACAAATTTTTTCTTTAAAATAATAATAATAATAATAATAATCGTAGGATTGATATAATTGAATCGCAGATGATGTGGAAATATCCAAAAGAATTACGTGATATATTTGATATCATTCCATATTATGACGGGGTGGATATGAAATATTATTGGATGGGACAAATATCATTTGAACTGTATCAATACTTGTCATTTTTAAGAAATGATTTATCGAATTTACAATCTTGGTTAAATGATAAAAAACATGTGTTTAATTCGATAATGAAATATGCTGAAGCTGCTGAAGAAAACCAATATTTATATGCTTGGAATTTTTGGAAACCTTGGCCTTCTTTTAAAATACCTCTTCGTAGAAGAGGTTCTTTCTCTCCTCATAAAAGTCCTTTCCTTTTTCCATATATTATAGCTAAGTATCTGTCTAAAGATGAGTCAAATACAATAAATAATTCGCATTATGACGATTCTGATGAACTAAAAAAGAATAAATTTGCTAAGCCTAAAAAAAAGAAGAAAACAAAATATTTTAGAAAGCATGATAATTATCAAAAAGGAAAAAATTTGAAAAAGAAGTTTGCCTACAAATACGGTTAAATTAGAGATGATGAAAATTTTGAAAATGACAAATATGTTGTGATTTTTATATTCTTTAAATAAATAAACTTCAATAGATTCAATTTATCAAATTTTTACAAGGCAACAAGATTTCTATCTGAATATTTATTTATTTATTTATTTTATTTTTTTTTTTGAAATTTCATTTACAAAGTTGCAAAGAACGCAATTTGACGTCAAACGAAAATTCATCATGTTCTTTATTCTTATTATTTCTTAATCATTCTTTCTAGGCAATTGGCTCCGATCCTTGAACGAAATCTAACAAGCATGTTCTGTTCATCATATTACACAAAATTTTATAATCATTTATGAATCGGATCTGACACATCACATAACTAATTGGGGGGTAATTAATTTTTTTGTAAACGTGCCTTAAAATTTACATCGTGCATGTGTTATTATTCACCGTGATTTAAGTAACAGGTCATACAGGAATTAGTATATCATCAATCGCATCATCGAAAACAGATGACGTTGAAATGAGATATTATGTTTCAAGGACAAGAATTAACTGAAGCTTCAGACGATTATGGCTTTGACATGATTGTGTGGGAATTTTTTAGAATCGAGATCATGATGCAGAACTTTTTATTGAATAATTGTTACAAAGATCATCTTGAAAATGTTGATATTTCCTAATCCAATTTGCTGACATCTAATCAAGAATTATTAATATTGATATTGGGCCTATAATTCCCAGTTCCATCTATAATAGTAAACTTTTAAGCACATTGATAATATCTACCAAGTCTATAAGAAGTTTCAAAGTCAAAGCATTATCTTAGACTTCGTATTTTTAAATAAAATACTAAAAATATATACTTTTAAAAAAAGGATGATTAAACAAAAATTGTGAAAGGTCAAATTCAATGAAAATAATGCATCCTTTTTTTGTTTGTTTATATATAAATATAATTAAATTAATGTCAATTTGGACACGTTCAAAAAAAAAGATAATTAAATGTCAATTCGAATTACTAAACTAGGACGTATTAACAGTTACAGTATTCCACATCTTACATATAAGTTTATACTTTGATTGTGAAAATAAAATAGACAAAGCCTACCTTTATTTAACGACGCAGCTGCCCGATGTAATCGTAACCGAAAGAGAAAAAATAAAAATATATCGAACAAAAAAGAATTTCGAAAAGAAAAAATAAATAAATAGAAATAATTAAATTTTTTACGAAAAAGGTAAAATAAAATAAACAAAAACTGAATCGGAAAATTAATTAGAGATCCGTTAAGAAATAACTCGCTTCAAGTAAATATAAGTAATATAACAGTACGATAGTACAATAAAATTGATTTCTTTAAATTATTGACATTTTATTCTCACTCAATATTTTTTTATTCTATTTATTCATCCTTTGGGCGTGAGTTGAATCATCTGCTCCTAGAACTAAAAAGCACGTGTGTCTCATTTGTGGAAATATACTCTATTTCTTATTCTTTTTAATAATAAAATAGTTACTAGTTTATTTGAATTTTGAATGATTTTATTCCACCTTGATTTATAATGAAAAACAAACTGCACGTTTACTAACTCACAAACTTTTAAAGTTTGGGTCAACTCGATAAGAATAACGATTTTTCTCAAGCATCAAAAAAAAAAGTGTAATCGTTTTTGTGTATTAAGTCAGACGACAAGAATAAATATTAATAATAATTTTTCAATTTGGTTTTAGCATTAAGTAAAAATAATGTTATTTATTAATTGTATTGGCGAAAAAAATTTTCTAGCAGCTAAATGGCGCAGTAAGGGAATGTTATTATCAATTTTATTCAAGGGAAATATAAAATATGCTACGTAATTTTCAAAGAAATAATTAATTTATTGATCAAATAAAAAAATAACATAATATATTAACAGTGAAATAATTAAATGTCAAATTGAATGTTAATAATGTCTGATTAATTATAAAATCATTGCTTTCATCCATCGAAACGGTCATTATATTTAGAATCCTACTAGTTGACATTTATTTATTTGGGATTAAACTGTTTACTCAACGACTTTGGTCATGTGACTCATTAATCTAATTGAAATTATTTGGGCTAAAAATAAATTTCGAGTAACATTGTATTAACTTTAAATGGTTGGTTTATTGTTAAACAAAAATAAATAATGATCATTGTTTGCTCTTCTTTGGTTTAGTCCATTTTTTTATTAATTATTTTTTTTTTTTAAAAAAAAAGAGCGCAAAAAAAATAAAATAAAATGTTACTTATTAAATAAAATTATTTATTTTTTTTTTTTTTAAAGAAAAAAAATAATGATTGAAAATTTTCCAATAGAACTTGTGAATAAATTATATAAATCGATTGGAAACGATTACAAAACCTTTTATTCGTGTTGTTTAGTTAACAAATCATGGTGTAAAATTTTTATTCAAAAACTATGGAGAAATCCATTCCAATCCATACATAGAGTCAAGATTTTAATCAATTGCTTGTTAGTAGAAGATAATGACTTCGTGAACCCAAAAAATATCAAATTACCCTTTTGTATTTTGCTCGAAAAACCTCCTTTATTTAATTACGCCAGATTTGCCACCATTTTACAACTAAAGATGACCAGATCTTTTTATCAGTTGATGTGTCTTAAATACAAGGATGAATCCTTAAAATATAGATTACTAAGATTTATTTTGAATCATTCATCTATAGAATATCTCAACACTTCGTTCCTTAAAGCCAAATTAGTAATTACGCATCCTAGTTTTAAAGTTTGTTTTCTAAACCTTAAAGAATTCGAAACTACTAATGATTATAGTCCTAATTTCTTTAAAGAATTATCCAAAGTCTGCGTTAACATTCAAGTATTTAGATTACATTGCAACAGTGCCAATAAGGATAACAGTAAATTAGCAAAGCTAATTGAAGTACAAAATAGAGTCAAAAAGGTGTATACATATAAGTATTTATCCAAATCAGGTGAATTGGAAAAATTAATATTGAAGGATGCAATATCAAGTCATGATATATCGATAGTTGAATATCATAGTAATGGATTTACTGAAATGGATTTATCAATATTGAGATTTCAAAATTTGGTATCATTACATTTAGAAAATTATAAAGTGAATGAAATTGATGTACCTGAATTTATCAAGTCAACTTCATTCCCAAACCTTCAAGAGTTTACGATTATTGATTTTCAAGATTTTCATAGGAATTTGTTCTTAAATATTTCAAATTTTATTGAAATAAATGGAAGTGGGCTTAAATATTTAGAGATTGGTGGATATTCAAAAGATATTAAGAATCTGAAGACTCTTCTTTTATCAATTGGACGAAATTGTGAAAAATTAGAGAGTTTAACAACTTTTTATGACTACAATCTAAAACATGAAATCGGTGGAATATTTGAGAACTGCATTTATTTGAGAGAAATCTATTTAAGATTAATTGACGGAAAAACTATAAATGCAGATGATATATTTGAATTTATGAAAAATGCAAGAAATTTAAAAAGCATTCAATTTGGAAGTTTTATTAGTATTTCTGATGATTCATTATCTGTTTTGAATGAAACATGGTTAGGACTCAAACCTCTTTTACTAATTTATAGTAATTATAACCACCATCGTTTAGGAGATTCGCCGATTCATATCTTGAAAAATTATGAAAAATTGGGATTATTAAAATATGAAATTACAGGCGAGACACCTGTTAGGGATGATGGAATTTATGATGATGATGACGATGATGATGAATATATATATGATTATACTTATAATTATACATATAATTATACATATAATTATACATATAATTATACATATAATTATACATATAATTATGAATATAATTATACTTATAATTATACATATAATTATTAAAATATATATATTGTGATGTATTAATAAAATAAATACATAGAATTTTATTTTATCATATATTTACCCAATTATTATATAATAAATATTATAAATATAAATCTCATTACTAGTGCTCCGTAAGGGTCGGGTCGGGTCGGGTTTGAAGCATATTCGAACTCGAACCCGTTAATAATTACGGAACCCG